AAGCACCCCCCCCCCCCCCCAGCACATATAAACATAAATGCATGCATCGGAGGTGCCCAAGTATAAAAATGTTGAATGTGATAACCTGTTATATTGTTGTACACACTGGAATGACAGCAATAATTATAGAGACATCATATATGGTTAACTCTAAACTATGTAAAGGTTTTTAAAGCATCACCTATAGAACTTTAGTATATTGTTCACTGAAAATATGCATTTTATTTTCTCTGAAAATGAGTTTTTATTTTCCCAAGACCTGCTCCATGCTTAACAGTATTTAAAAATATTTTTTTCATTGGTACATGTCCCCAGTGACAGTGCCCAGCTACCTACGCTGTTAAGTCAGGTGGGAAGTGGTAGGTTTCAGTGCATGACACTGTGTACTCCTTTTTTTTTTTTTTTTTTTTTTTTTTTTTTTCTTTAAACATTTTAACACGCATTACCAGCATTGTGATGTGAATGAAGCACATAGAACAAAACTGTTTTCTATGTGTTATTGCAGCCAATGGTGTTTTTATGCAGTGCAGGAAAAATACCAATCGCTGCACATAGTGTGAACGCATCCCTAATGTGTTGTGTGAAAATCCTGCACCTATTTGTTTATTTCTTTAATTGGTCACACATCTACTGGAAGATTTCTGCTTTGGATACCTTTTTAGCATATGCAGTATAGGGAAGTGACAGAAGTTGTTTGTATCCACATTTTTATTTTAATACCTGTTGCTTTAGCCATGCAAGACAAATCGGCAAATTCACCTCAAGCCCACATACATTTTTATTTTCTCTGATCAAAGCCCTTGTTTTACTACTGGGACCAAAGTGAAGAGGCCTTATATAAGCTCAATTATGACTTGAGTACACAGGATTCAGGCACTTGGCTCTGTTAGAGGGTCCTGAGTGGTCCATCACTAGTGCTGTCACATGGGAGGAAGGGGAGTGTGTCCAGTCTTCCCCTTACCAGGAATCTGGGTATTTGCTTTCAGTATTGGAAGCAGAATGGAGTGGTGGGGGATAGTAACAGAAGCATGTGCTACCAGTGGGGCTGGTAATAAGACAAAAGCAAAGATACAGCGCCTCTAAGGGCAGACTGTTTGCCAGTTTATTGTATAAAAAGTAAGCTTAACAACTCACATGTGGCAAATGTAAAAAGGCTCATAGGGATCTGTATGTAAAACTTCTATCACCAGATGTAGAATGCCACTCAGGAGTGAATACCGGCTGGTCAGTAGGAGGCGCTGCAAGAGGGAGAGCCGTGGATGGTGACGCCTCTGGTATGTCCGGAGCTGTGGCATTGGTGTCTGATGTCATCGGGATGCGATGCATTTCTGAGCATGTGCGGGGACCGATGTGTACCTGCGTTCTTTCATCAGGCATAGGCGGTAGGCTGTGTCTTTGCTTCTGTTTCCTCTACTTTAGAGTACTGCTTCATTCTGTCACAGCCTGCCCTAATATTCTAGACCGAATACCCTCCACCCAACCTGGAATACATTCCATTGAATTAAAGACTACATGGACTGCACTACTCATGCACCTGTTCACTCTCCTCATACCTGGTAATAATACAACCTAAGTTGTCAATGAAAGGCCAAAAAGCTCTGCCTAAGAGTAAATAATTTTCTCTTTTGCTGGTTGTACCTCCAAACACTACTGTTATCATTGCTAAAACAATCAGGTTGGAGTGTTGGACCTAGTAACACAATACTAAAGGATGCATCAACTCTAAAATGGAATGTTTATGGTTATAACCGTGCATCAGGCTTTCAATTTGCCTCCAATTGTCACTTGAGCAAACGCATTTAAAGTAAACGCTTACGGTACAAGTTTTACTACAAAATCTGAATAAAAAGCTGCCACCTAGGGCATTAACACAAATATCTGTCCATTGTCATATTCATCATGATGTTTTTTAAAGTCGAAAGACAAATTATCTTGAATACAGATATGCTGAATGTTCAAGGTGAAGACCAAAGTGTACATGTTTTGGGAGATCCCCTGCTTCAGCACTCTTCTGGTCTCATAGGCATATCACAGGATCTTATAAGTTATAAAAGATATGTATATAATAACTATTAGATTAAATATGTCTTGTGTCCATACACTGTTAGACTGTTTTTGGCTCCTCTGTTATCACCCACTGAAGTCTCTTCTGAAACTGACATTTCAGGTGTCCTATTGACTGGTCCCCTTATGTGCTTAGTGGTGGATCAAGAGACAAGTGTCTGTCTCTGAAACCAATTTGGCAGACAACTTCTCTTAACACAGAGCGACAGTGTAGTGTTTAGCTGCACAGGCAGCAAAGGGTTAAGTAGTTTACCTCTCCTTTGATGACCAGCTTTTTGGACAATTTAATTTTCCAGACAGGATCGCTGTCTGCCTGCCTTTAACATTCCTGTTGAATCATGCAGGTCAGCCATGCAGTCATGTAACATCTAAACTCACATTAGCTGCTTTGTCCTACTGTACCTGCAACAATTTCTAATAAAAATCTAGTTTGATGGTGTATTTCAGGTAGGTCCTATACGATATATTTCTAGTACATTTTCTGTCATGGGGCCAAATATAGTCTAAAACGACATCATGTTGCTGTGTATAGAGTTGTTTTGGAGTTTGAAATTTAGGTCGATTTTACATGGTTGTGAAGGCAGAAGCTCTTTTTACCTTTCTTCATTCTTTGCATGAACGTAAATAACTTTCTGCATGCAGCTCCCCCCCCCCCCCCCCATGCTAACCAGAGCGCAATCTTGATCCTGCAATGTGCAGGAGGGCAGAAGCTCTCAACTCTCTCCATCCTCATTGGCTCAGAGATTGACAGCAGCTGGAGCCAATGGCTTCTTCTGCGATCACAGCCAGTGAGGAGGGAGCAGGGGACTGGGCAGAGCTGTGGTCTGTGTGTCTATTACATAGAGGCGGATTGACATTGAGCACCCAGGTGTGCCATAATAGGGAGCGGCTTTCTATGGTGGCACACCAAGAAGAAGAGTAGGAGCCAGCAGCACCGGCGGGGCAACCAAGAAGAGGAAGATTGGGGCTGCTCTGTGCAAAGCTATTGCACAGAGCAGGTAAGTATAATAGATTTGTTATTTTTAAGAAATAAGGAATGATCCTTTCCAATCACTTTAATTGTTTAATTATTCTACCTCAAAGAGCAACATAATGCAGTCTGTGTGCACTGTCAGGCTGTGAGATTTTTTTGCACACTGAAATGGGTAAATCAGCATTGAAAATTAGTTACAAATGTTCAATTAGTACAACATTAATAACAATACCATCATTAATATGCTTTGTTTCACAACAGGATAGGTAGTTTTATTAATATTTCAAAATGTAAGTTTATTAAATAATTCAAAGGTTTTTAGTGTTCATATAATTAGTCTTTATGCTGCTGCACAAAACTAGCTAATCACTGCCACCATCAATTTCTAAAATGTATTCATGTTTCCAGGCATCAATTTGTTTTCACTCCTAGTGCTAGAAAGTTTTAGCATTTTACTTAAGTTTATTGAGACTTTTTTTAATTTAATGCATTTTTTTTCTCACTCTGTCATATTGACTCTTCAGTTAGGGGAAGAGGTGTTTTCTAACCTGCAGAATAAACCTGCAGCTATCTCTTCTGGACTTTGGGTGGGTGATTTCTTATTTTTTTGTTTTGCTCATGTGGATTCTCAGATCCATTTGTTTTATTAGTCTTATTAAAATTACAGAGCAACAATGGTGTAAAAATTACATCTGCTTACAGCCAAATAGAAATTGATAGGACATACTGAAAAATTGTGTTTTTTTTTTTTTTTTGTTTGTTTTTTTTTTAGACATAAGTTTCTGCACTTTTTGCACACTGTTCCAATCAGTAGTCAAGGAAACATTTGCTTGAAAAGTGAAGGGTGCTATTTCTGATTCATTTTTGAAAATACTATTTGCCTCAGTGTCAATATCAGTAGCTGACCTGAGCATAGTCACTACCTCTGATCTGCTTACTTGTTCTGATCAGTGTTCCAAGCATTAAACTGGTTTTAAACCTCTGACATGAAATATGAACAAAATGTACCCCTCTAGTGTGTACTTAATTAAGTGCACCAAGTGTCATTTCTGTCATGCTGATAGAGAACCAGATCAGCAGAGTCACTTTTGGCAAGTTTTCCTGACACCAAGAGAAATGATGAAAGGGAAGGGACCTCCAGCACACAGCCTTTGATTGACAGCCTCCAGTCTTTGCCTGTGTGCTGTGTGAAGGAGGGTGTATCCTGTTTCTCTACACAGCTTGCAGAACTCTTTCACTGAGCTCTGCAGAGTGTAACTTCAGAATCTGACCCCTGCTTTCTTGAGCTCAGAAAAGTCTAAGTTCTATACTTGGTATGGCTATAGAGAAGAGAGCTGCAGATAAACAGGTACAACTTATGTAGGAGGAATTGATTCATCTCTGTTTCACTCGAGGCCAGTCACTCCACTAGGTATGTGTAAGGGTTTAAAGCCAAAGTCTTAGTATGACCGACAGAAACTAGACTAGCATTTTTAGAGGGAGGACAGCAATGTCATCCTAATTTATATTCTTCATAGCACAAGTTTCCTTTATAAAATTGCATATGTTTTCCCAATGTCTGCATAATGGTTTTTGCAAATTAGTCATTACTAAGCAAAGCTACCCAATTTACCGAATAGTGGAAACCTGTCAGCAAGTTGATGATAAATGTTTGCAAGCATTTTTAAATATATCTGTTTGGGTCAGTGGCTCAGATGGCACTGAAGAAAAACACATCAGCATGGCAGCCAGGAAACTAGCATTTAAAAAAAAAAAAAATAATTTCCTGTGACAGTATCTATTTTTAATAGGTTAGAAAATGTCCAAATCATCATATCAAATGAGATATCTTTGCTCTGCTGGACAAAAGAAATTATAAAGATAAAAGTCAAGCATTGTCCTTAAAATTTAATATGAGGGTGTTCATTATCTGTAACGGCATTTTGACCTGATTTATGAGACAAATGTTATCTCTATGTTGTAGATTACAAAAACCTGAGTCAAAGGAATCAAGCATTTCAAATTCAAATGCTCCTGCGAGTAATAGCCAGCATGGAGGACCAAGTCAAGACACAAAAAAGACTGTAAAGAGTGAGTATCAGTTTCTTCATTTTATTTAATGACTTTTCTAGCCTGCAGTGATGGATAAGAAAAAAACTTGTGTAAATGTTTTCATACAGCTGGTTAACCACAAATATCTCAGTCACACATTGTTAGATGTAGAAAAGAATTTTGACTTACCAAGTGACACCTATGCTGTTAAGCTGAAGGTGGGGGCTCACATACTTGAGGATGGTCTGCACATACAGTGGGGATCGAAAGTTTGGGCACCCCAGCTAAAAATTTGTATTAATGTGCATAAAGAAGCCAAGGAAAGATGGAAAAATCTCCAAAAGGAATGAAATTACAGATTAGACATTCTTATAATATGTCAACAAAAGTTAGATTTTATTTCCATCATTTTACACTTTCAAAATAACAGAAAACAAAAAATGGCGTCTGCAAAAGTTTGGGCACCCTGCAGAATTTATAGCATGCACTGCCCACTTTGCAAAGCTGAGACCTGCCAGTGTCATGGATTGTTCTCAATCATCGTCTGGGAAGACCAGGTGATGTCAATCTCAAAGGTTTTAAATGCCCAGACTCATCTGACCTTGCCCTAATAATCAGCACCATGGGTTCTTCTAAGTAGTTGTCTAGAAAACTGAAACTGAAAATAGTTGACGCTCACAAAGCTGGAGAAGGCTATAAGAAGATAGCGAAGCGTTTTCAGATGTCAATATCCTCTGTTCGGAATGTAATTAAGAAATGGCAGTCATCAGGAACAGTGGAGGTTAAAGCAAGATCTGGAAGACCAAGAAAAATATCAGACAGAACAGCTTGCAGGATTGTGAGAAAAACAATTCAAAACCCAAGTTTGACTGCATGATCCCTCCAGAAAGATCTGGCAGACACTGGAGTTGTGTACACTATTCCACTATAAAGAGATACTTGTACAAATATGGTCTTCATGGAAGAGTCATCAGAAGAAAACCTCTTCTACGTCCTCACCACAAAAATCATCGTTTGAACTTTGCAAATGAACATATAGACAAGCCTGATGCATTTTGGAAACAAGTTCTGTGGACCGATGAGGTTAAAATTGAACTTTTTGGCCGGAATGAGCAAAGGTACGTTTGGAGAAGAAGGGGAACAGAATTTAATGAAAAGAACCTCTGTCCAACTATTAAGCATGGGGTTGGATCAATCATGCTTTGGGGTTGTGTTGCAGCCAGTGGCACAGGGAACATCTCACGAGTAGAAGGAAAAATGGATTCAATAAAATTTCAGCAAATTTTGGATGGTAACTTGATGCCATCTGTAAAAAAGCTGAAGTTAAAGAGAGGATGGCTTCTACAAATGGATAATGATCCTAAACACACCTCGAAATCCACGGGGGATTACATCAAGAGGCGTAAACTGAAGGTTTTGCCATGGCCTTCACAAACTCCTGACCTCAACATAATTGAAAATCTATGGATAGACCTTTAAAAGAACAGTGCGTGACAGACAGCCCATAAATCTCAAAGAATTGGAAGACTTTTGTAAGGAAGAATGGGCAAAGATAATTTCTGATGTTGCTAAATATCAAGAAACATTGTAATAGCAAACTATTCACGTAGCATTGTAAGAACTGATATAGCCCTATGCTGGAATTAAATCCTCTTCTATTTAATGTTTTTTTTAATGGGGGGTAGGCAGTCTTTGAGAGGTGGAGATCTACCTGAACAACATCAAAGAACACTGGGGTTTGGCACCCTTTTTTTTTTTTTTCCCTCCTAGTCCTTTTCCAGGACAGCACACACCTGAGTGATGACTAGCTCCACCTGACCAGAAACGCCAATTAAAGCAACAGTTTAAATTCCCCGTCCTTCCCTCCACTCCAGGTTTTTTTTTTTTTTTTTTTTTACTGTGTTTCCCAGCAGTGAAACGTTTGTTGTTTTCTGGTGACCTGAAAGCCTGGGGCTGTAAGGTCCCTCCTGGGGGTTAATCAGAAGCCGGGGAGAGTGTGCTGGATAGCCTAGGTGACTTACCCACTCCAGGGGTTCCCAAGGTTCGGAGTTTCCCATGCACAGGGAAATTGTGCCTGGCACTTCACAGACCAGAGCTCTTTTCACCCTTTGTCCAGACAGCAGGGAGGCTGGGGCGAGAGAGGATCAGGTGACGGGTTGCATCTCACGTGTGTAGGCATTAGAGGAGGGACAGCCAGTGCGGAGACTGCGTGGCACACGCCCACCACTAATAATAAAAATTTAAAAGTGAGCGCTATCCAATCAGCAGCTAAGCACTCAAGGTAAACTAGGAGCTCCGTTTTAGCAAGGTTTAGTTTGAGGAAATGGAGTGACATCCAGTCTGATATGTCATTCAGAAGGCTAGTGATTTGGGCGTAGACTGAAGGGATGAGGTGAGGGGTGGAGAGCTGGTAGTTGAAGCCGTGGGAGTGTATCAGTTGACCAAGGGAGGAGGTGTAGATGGAGTAGAGAAGGGGCCGGAGGACAGAACCTTGGGGGACCCCAACAGAGAGGGGGAGTGAGGGGGAGGTGGCAGTGTTATAGGTAACACTGAAGGAGCGTTGTGATAGGAAGAGAGCCAGGAGAGAGCAGAGTCTCTGGGGCCAAAAGAGTATAGTTTTTTGAGGAGGAGGGGGTGGTTGACCGTGTTGAAAGGTCTGCAGAGAGGTCAAGGAGTAATAGCACTGAGTAGTGGCCTTTGGCTTTGGCAGTTAGCAGGTCGTTGGTGAGTTTGAGTAGGGCTGTTTCGGTGGAGTGTAGGGAACGAAAGCCAGATTGAAGGGGATCAAGGAGGTTGTTGGTGAGGTGGGAGCTTAGGCGATTATAGGCTAAGCGCTCAAGGAGTTTGGATGTAAATGGCTGCAGGGAGATGGGTCTAAGGTTGTATTACGTCGGTGGGATCCAGGGAGGGTTATTTAATATGGAGTGATGTGCGCATGCTTCAGAGAGGAGGGGAATGTGCCAGTAGAGAGGGAGAGATTGAAGAGGTGAATGAGGGAGCGTAGGATGGAGGAGGAGGGTGATTGTAGGAATTGTGTGGGGACAGGGTCAAGGAGGCAGGTGGTAGGGTGAGCTTTAGAGAAGACCTTAGTGAACTCATCAGTGGTAGCAGGGTCGAAAGAGTGGAGTTTTGAGGGGGTTTGAGTGTGGGGAGTGTTGGGTGGGGTAGAGATCTGGACGGTGGAGAGGTCAAGGGAGAGGAATGTTGAGGGGGTTTTAACTAGGATCGAGGGAGAATTAGATTATAATGGGGTAGACAGATTAGACAGGGGTCAGTACTTATTGGTGGGTGGAATGGGGGGAGGGCTATGGCAGATAGGTTCCCATGTTACAAACAACCAATGGAATTGGTAACATTTGTATGAAAATAAAAAATATACAAAATACGTGTGCACAAGGTGTCAATTATTATTATTATTTTGTTATTATTATTATTATACAGGACTTGTATAGCGCCGACAGTTTGCTCAGCGCTTTACATTATGGAGGGAGACAGTACAGTAACAATACAGTTCCATAAAAGAGAGATTAGAGGGCCCTGCTCCTTGGAGCTTACAATCTAGGAGGGAGTGGATAGTGGTACAAGAGGTAATTAATTAGCTGTGGGGGATGGAGTGGTAGGAAGAGTAAAGGATTCCAGTATTAGCTGGGGTCGGGTAGGCATCCCTGAAGAGATGGGTTTTCAGAGTGCGCCAAAAAGTGAGCAGAGTAGGCAATAGCTTGATAGATTCGGGTAGAGAGTTCCAGAGGATGGGTGAAGCCCTTGAGAAATCCTGAGGGCATAGGAGGAGGAGACAAGGGAGCTTGCGAGTAGGAGGGTCTTGCGAGGAGTGGAGAGTACGGTTTGGGTGGTATTTAGAGACCAGGTCGATGATGTAATTAGGGGCAGTGTTATGAACGGCTTTGTACGTTATTGTTAGTGTTTTGAATTTTATCCCTTGGGCAATTGGGAGCCAGTGGAAGGATTGGCAGAGAGGGGTGGCAGATACAGAGCGGTTAGTAAGGTGAATGAGTCTGGCAGCAGCGTTCATGATGGACTGGAGTGGGGATAGCCTGCGATGAGGTAGTCCAGTGAGGAGGGAGTTACAGTAGTCAAGGCGAGATATAATAAGAGAGTGAATGAGTTGCTTAGTGGTTTCCGGGGTTAGGAACGGTCGTATCTTGGAGATGTTGCGGAGGTGAAGTCTATATGAGTTTGTCAGCGATTGGACCTGGGGCTAAAAGGACAGATTGAGTCTAGGATTACACGTAGTACCCTGGCGTGAGGGGATGGACTGAGGATAGTGTTGTTGATCTTGATGGAGAAGTCAGTGGGGGGGCACGGGCTGGGGGGAATACTAGGAGCTCAGTTTTGGAAAGGTTGAGTTTGAGGAAGTGGAGTGACATCCAGTCCGATATGTCACTTAGTAGGCTGGTGATGCGATCGGAGACTGAGGGGGGTGAGGTGAGGGGTAGAGAGATTTGTGTGTCGTCGGCATAGAGATGGTAGTTGAAGCCGTGGGAGTTTATCAATTCGCCAAGGGAGGAGGTGTAGATGGAGAAGAGGAGGGGTCCGAGGACAGAACCTTGAGGGACCTCAACAGAGAGAGGGAGTGAAGGGGAGCACTGCGATAGATAGGAGGAGAACCAGGAGAGAGTGGAGTCAATGAATTTAAGTGTTTGCTCACCAATGCCAGAAGTCTGCTAAGCAAAATAAGTGAGTTGGAAGCTTTGGTGCATGAACAGAACTATGATTTAATTGGTATTGCTGAATCTTGGCTTCATTCTTCACATGACTGGGCCATTAATATTCCTGACTATGTTCCCTTTCAGAGATACAGGAAAGGTGGTGGTGTCTGTCTCTATGCAAGAGAGAGTGTGAAAGAGGACCTGATTGATGTGATGAGGCTGAAGCATTAGGGGGTGCAACTGCACATGGGGGTGCATACTACAAAGGTAGTCAATGGAGTTTGTTATAGGCCTCCCAATGTTAATGAGGAGGTGGAGACTCTGCTCCTTGCACAGATCGAAAGGGCTGGGACAGTGATAATATTGGGGGAT